TTCGTCACGAGTTGCTTGACATTTATATGTAAGCACACTCTTTTGTGAGGCTATATGGTGCGATTCATTTTAATTTGTTTCAAGTTTGACGTCAACTTCCTGTTTGTCAGTGCATGTCGATTTCATAAATTAACAATTTTCGGCATTATTTTTTTTAGCAACTACTCATAACAGATGCTTGAAATTTAAGAACACACTTTGGCATGCAGTATGTTGGGATTTATTTTATTTGATTCTGATGTCAAATTCCTATTTTTCCGTTCATATAGTCATAACGTTTATTAACATGATTTTTTATATTCACATCAGAGGGGTATTACTAGTGAGCATTTGCTTACGGATTTCTTGTTCCTTCAGTCGAGGACACAGATTGTGTGAAATAGCTTGTTTAATTCTTATTTTTAGGCATTAAGTGAAATAAGCGAAGGTAGAACTGACTCCATTGTGGATAAAACTAAATTGTTAGAAATTGATGGATCCAATAAAGAAGAGCTTCTATGCAGAATTCAACAGGAAGTCCTGGAAATGAAAAGAGAATTACAATATCACCGTAACCTTAAAGGTAAATTAAAATAAAAGAATAGGGATCCTTATAAAAAGAGCTATTTAACGTTTTTCGAAAATAAAATGTGAGAATAATAAACATTAACTACTGTATTAAACAAAACTGAGAGAAAAGACAAAAAGGACAAATGAAACATAAGAGGTGGGTTACTAATGATGGACAGTATAAAATTATATAAATATATTGACAGTGAAAAAAAATGCCTTTTCTAATTCTTTCTGTCTGTCATGTTCCTTTAAATCTATTTAAGGTTTGATATTTTGAATTTTGGGGTAAGTTAATCCCATGTAGGACTGATTAAAAATACAAATGTAAAAAAAGGACTTTTTAGATTTTTTTCATCGTAAAACCATTCTTTACTGTACACATTTATAACCAATCAGCTACTTTTAAAGAATCACCTTTCCGGTGAAGCTAGATCATCCGACTTGTAATAATTTCTTGCAAAGCAGAGAGCTGTGGATGCTTCTAAGTTAATTGCAAAATCCAAGTTAATTTGCAATAAGCAGACTAGACTTCCATTAAAACGTAAGAGTCTGGGAATATTGATGAACGATATTTTAAACTGATGCTGAATACTGTAATGATATATCCTTCCCTATATTTTTTTTGGAAGGGAGGATCTACATTGCCATCGAATTTACATAATTCAAAAAATCTTTTTGCTATTGTTTTCCAAATAATCCTTATCGACGTGTGTCTTTGTTTGTTAATTTGCGTTTGTATAATTTTGTATGTTGTTTACTTAAACGAGTGTCGACCAATAGTTATATGATGACTCTCTTTCTTTTTGTAGAAAATACGATTAATTTAATAGAGAAATGGAGGACTGATGAAAGGGATTTTTATAATACCAGGGGTACTGAAAAAGTTTTGGAAAAAATACGAAGCCATAGTACCACCATGATCGTAGGACATTCTGGCTCCGGAAAGTCTGCGACAATGAGATATGTATCCCTCTTACTTGAAGAAGAAGGGTTTGAAATAATACCGGTCAGCTATGCCAGCAACATTCTTTTTCAGAGATTCAGTACTCGAAAGCAGCTTTTTATCATCGATGATATCATTGGTAAATACAGAGTCGATGATGTTATTTTAGAATCATGGCAAAGAATAAATAATCGTCTTGAATTGATATTTAAGAGTAACAGCGCAAAACTTTTATGTACCTTGCGACGACATTTACAGAACGAAATAAATGAGCTGTCTATTTCGACGGTATTCAATTCAACAGTTGTCGATCTTGATTCAAACGATTTAGTACTTTCTCTTACCGAAAAGAAAGAAATATTCAGAAATTATATGAAACTTCGAAACAAACAAGATAAGATTAACAGTGATGAAATTGAGAGGATTTGTCGCTGCCATTACGCTTTCCCTTTATTATGCGATTTGTTCTTCTCGAATCCTGAATTCCACAGAAGGAAAGCTAAGTTTTTTTCTAATCCAACAAACATTTTCAAAGAAGAATTAGATCGTATGCAAAAGAAAAATAAGGAAGTTTATTGTGTCCTTGTGTTGAACGTGATTTTTGAAACGAAAACCCTACAATCATTTTATGATATCACTATTGAATATCAAAGAAAAAATGACTTCTCCCTAATTTTACAAGCATGCGAAGTGTCCGAATCAGTTCCAAGAAAGCGCCTTTATAAGGATCTACTATCTGTAGCAGGTAGTTTTGTCCAATCAGAAAATCCCTTTTTCTTCATTCATGACAGACTTGAAGAAACAATCGCTTGTCATTTTGGCACACACTTTCCAAATACAATGTTTCAGTGTTGTAAGCGTGAATTTATCAGAGAAAGAGTGGTGCTTCAGGTGTGTCACGAAGGCGATCAAGAGGTTTTTTAATTCATAAACCTCTATCCTATGATGCTTTTACCAAGAGAATTCAGACAGAAATAATGAATGGAAAATTTGGTGACGTTCTTCTTAGCAAACCTCTGCAAGACAGAGATTATGTGAATTATTTTCTGTCTTACCTCCAGAAAAATAATCTTTCCGTTGAAGATATAGAGCATTCGCCCTGTACAGACAGTCTAACACCTTCACTGCAAGAGGGAGAAAAAATAATCAAAAATATCACGAACACAAACAGACATGCTATGATTGAAGTCTTACAAGACAAGTAGTTTTACTAACTGGTTTGTTGCAACAGGCTGCTATTTCTTATTTCATCACATAATTAACAAAAGGCCAAAGAGCATACTTAGCCAATTATATGAAAAATATACTTCATTTAACGTCAGTGACCTTTTACATTTGGTATTGTTAGGAGAACATATAGACATAGTTAGATTACTCATTACCAAAGGTGGAAATGTTAGATCATGTGACCAATGCAGTATTCCTTTGCTGTGTAAAATCGCAAAAACAAACAATTCTGCAATTGCTAATTTCTTGATAGAAGCGGGAGCTAATGTGGATCAGAGGGACGAAGTTATCGGATAGACTGCATGCTTTGTATCATGCTGTTTCAATAAAATTGAAATGTTAATCTTGCTGATAAGTAGAGGTAGTGATGTAAATCATTGTGATTTTCAGTTAAGAACTCCGTTAGCCATTGCAGTATCAAAAAATAATACACAAGCCGTGTCTGTTTTGTTACGCTACGGTGCTACTTGTTATGATAAAATATTTGGCGTTCTCTTACCGTGGAACAAAGAAGTTATTTTACAAGAGGCTTTACTGAACAAAAGTACAGAAATTGTTCAAATGCTTTTAGATTCAGGTAGATCAAGGAATGAACTCAGAATCAACTACCCATTACCTGGATTATTAAAAAACAAAAATATAATGAATGACCTATTGGATGTGTTTCTGAAAGATTTGAAAACCGTTTCTACAGGGTGTTTTTTGTTGAGGGATTTCATTAAAATCTGTGATGCAATTTATAAAAATAACACAAAAAAGATTTATAAGGTATTCAGCTTAAAAAGACAAAGTTTCCATAGCTTTGTGTATCAGGGTAAATGCAGAACTATAACTAGATGCTGTCATGAGACAGTAATACCCGCACTAAGGTGTTTTCCTCTAAATACACACTCCTTCATATTTGACTTTCCAAGGAAGAAGTCAAAATAATTCTATAATTATCTCCGTACATGCATTCGTCAAACTGAGCATAAAATTTTCAGGTGACCATATGATCTATGAGCCTCATAGATGTATTTTGTATACTTAATTCATTACCAGTCTGAAATAACAGAATTTAATTAATAAAGTAAATTACTTAATTAGATTCTGATAAATATTTTGCTCATAATTTGGAACTTTTTAAATTTACTTTCTCAACCACATAAAATATTATTTTAGGGAAAAAAACCATTGAAAATACAGCCCAATTAATTTGTGAATGCCTATCCCCCCCCCTCACCATCACACACACACACTCTCTCTCTCATACATTTTTTAAAATAGACCTAGATAGAAAGTTATGTTAAAACATCGTTTATTATGATAGTTGGAAATTTGTTCTTGTACTAAACAGTTTTACGTGTGAACATCTTATTGAAAATTTCTACATTCACATTGGGTTTGCGTCACCCATTATCATATTTTTAGATATCACCACTCGGCACACCTCGGCCGATTCATACTTCATCTAATGAAGGCGACGGAATCAGCAAAGGTTTGCTGAATATGAGATTATTTAGCACATGTATGCTGACGATGCAGTGTGGTCAGTTAAAATCATTTGTGTTTTAATTGGATTATATGGATTATATTTCATGAATTCGTTGTCAGGACCTATGACATTCGGTAAGTACAAGATTTAGTATAGATTGCATAAAAATAAATAAATACAAATGGTTAGGTTGAAGTTCAAAAAGGGTCAAAGATCATCGCATGCCACAGTCGACAAATTTCACATTGTCAAGTTATCTCCCGTTGCGGACATTCAGTATATATACATTATTACAGGCGTAGATCCAGAATTTTTTTTTCGGAATGGGGGGGGGGGGGATGTCACACCTCAGTCAAAAAAAAAAATCCAGCCCAAGATTTCCTGAGAAGCAAATAAAAAATAATAATAATAACAATGATGGTGGGGTCCCTGTTTTCCAAGGGGGAGGTTGTCCAAAGTCATTTTTATTCTCTCCAGTAAATAGTCTTATTTAAATAACTGCAAATTCAAGGGGGGGAGGGGGTGTCTGATCTCCCTAGCCACTGACTCCCTGTAACCTGAAATGACAATTGATCTTATGACTCTATAATAGTAGAAAATTTTTCCATTTGACTATATATACATGTTTTGTTTCCTGTGTTTATATGTCTGTTTGTCTGTCCACAGAAACTTTAACCTTGCCCATATTTTAGTTTTAAGTGGATTGGGCTATACACGTGGCTTCCACATTTCATAGGTAAATTTCTTTTGGCAAAACCTTTTAATGGGTACCACCAATTTTGACCTCTTGATCTCTTGACCTTGGAGTTTGACCCTTTTTTACAAGCAAAATACCTTAAACTTGGCCTAATTTAAGTTTTGAACAGTTGGTGCTAGGACTTTCATGCTTAACAAATGTAATCATTGTGAACTTTCAACAGGTATAAATATTTTTGACCTTGACCCTAGAGTTGAACCCAATTTAACTTTAACCTTGGCAATAACTTTTGAACAGGTGAGGAAGTACTGGGGATTTCTCTCTTATTTCACATGTGTATTCCTTGTGACAAGACTTTCCCTTTGATATCAACAATTTTGACCCTTTGACCTTGACCTTGGAGTTTGACTTACATTTGAGAAACTTCAACGTTTGCCAAAAGCTGCCATAACAGTTGCTGTCACAACAAACAAATTACTAAAAGAAAACACAGTATACATGTACATATTTTATATTCAACAGATATACTTCTGGTAATATCTCTAGTTCTCCCTTGAATCAGACATGGTGATATAAATATTTTAAAAATAATTATTATAGAGTTGAAAAGGTTGTGCATATTAAAATATACTAAGCTCTGCGGATGAATTAGATATTTAGATATACCAGTTTAGCTTTATTTTGCTACCCAAAGCACCTTGATTAACTATTTACAAGCATACTGTTTTCTGAAATGTACTGTTTTCTGTCGTCCATCTGTTTGTCTGCAAACTTTTCACATTGTTAACTTCTTAAGAACCACTGGGCCAATTTCAACCAATTTACATGTAAATATGCAGGGGACTTTTTCCAACATAAATCTTCTTCTCAAGAACAGCAAGGACATTTATTGTCCCCCATTTTCGCTAAAGGTAGGGGACATTAAATCTCCTTTGTTTGTCAGTCTGTCCATCTGTCACAATAAATTTAACCTTGGTCATCATGGTCATATATTTTGAATGAGAAGAGACAGGACTTTTATATTAAACATGTGTATTAGTATTTAACTGGGACAATACCTTCCTAAATACACTATGATTTTTATTACCCATGACCTTCAAGTTTGACCTACTGTCATAAACAAATAAATTGTTTTAAATTGATCATTTTGAAAGATAAATAAAAGGGCATTCATATTGTACATGCATGTATATTACCTGTGATAAGACCTTTTCAAATGTATCATGACTTTTTGACTCTGTGACCTTGACCTTGAAGTTTAACTTACTTTTTAATAATGTTGTATTTCCTTTTGATTGAGAAGAGTTACAACTTTCACATTTCAAGTGTACATTATCCATAACAAGATGTTTCCCAACATGCTATGATTTTTTACCCCTTGACCTTGATGTTTTACCAAAATTTCAAAAGAGTGAACTCTCCCAAAAGAGGATTAGGCCAATGTTTAAAATGAAATAGGAGTTTAGGGAAGACGGGGCTTTTTGTATAAAAAAACATCATTTTTCGACCCCTATTTGACACCCCGTGGCAAAATCAAAATTCCAAAACCTTACTACACATTTACATGACCCCATTATTCATCTCCCAAAAGATGATTATGCTGCTGAATAAAATGTAAGAGGAGTTCAGGGAAGAAGGGGCTTTTTGCATAAAAAACGTCATTTTTCGACCCCCATTTGACCCCCCGGGGCAAAATCAAAATTCAGAAACCTTACTACACATCTACATGACCCCACCAACCATCTCCCAAAAGATGATTAGGCTGCTGAATAAAATGTAAGAGGAGTTCAGGGAAGATGGGGCTTTTTGCATAAAAAAAACGTCATTTTTCGACCCCCATTTGACCCCCCGAGGCAAAATCTAAACTCCGAAACATTACTGCACATTAACATGATCCCACCAACCATCTCCCAAAAGATGATTAGGCTGCTGAATAAAATGTAAGAGGAGTTCAGGGAAGATGGGGCTTTTTGCATAAAAAATGTCATTTTTCGACCCCCATTTGACCCCCCGGGCAAAATCAAAATTTTGAACCCTTACTGCACATCTACTTGGCACCACCAACCATCTCCCAAAAGATTATTAGGCTGCTGAGTTGAATGTAGAAAGAGTTCAGGGAAGACGGGGCTTTTAGCATAAAAAAAACGTCATTTTTCGATCCCCATTTGACCCCCCGGGGCAAAATCAAAATTTTGAACCCTTACTGCACATCTACATGACACCACCAACCATCTCCCAAAAGATGATTAGGCTGCTGAATAAAATGTAAGAGGAGTTCAGGGAAGATTGGGCTTTTTGCATAAAAAAACGTCATTTTTCGACCCCCATTTGACCCCCCGAGACAAAATGAAATTTCCGAAACCTTACTGCACATCTACATGACCCCACCAACCATCTCCCAAAAGATGATTAGGCTGTTGAATAAAATGCAAGAGGAGTTCAGGGAAGAAGGGGCTTTTTGCATAAAAAAAAACGTCATTTTTCGATCCCCATTTGACCCCCCCGGGGCAAAATCAAAATTCCAAAACCTTACTGCACATCTACATGACCCCATCAACCATCTCCCAGAAGATGATTAAGCTACTGTGTAAAATGTAGGAGGAGTTCAGGGAAGAAAAGTGTGACAGACGGACGTACCGACGGACGGACGGACATGAGTAACAACAATATACCCGAACTTTCTTTAGAAAGTGCGGGTATAATAAGAACATATCTGTTGGCAAATTTTAATGGCAATAATCTGCGTCTTACCTTGCTTCATGTCGCTGCTTTATGTGATGCCGCAGATTCAGCAAAAATGTTAATGA